ACGTCATGACTTACAATAATGGTGATGCAACCGAATTTGCGTGTTGCCATTGGTTTTACGATAAAAATCCACAAATACTTGTAAGAGTAAACCAACTTATGCGTGGCGTGTCTAATCACAGTGGAAGATAAGTGTGTGTGTATGTGTGTGTGTGTGTGGAACCACAGTCCTGGCTGTCAAGTTAGCAGCTATGCGGGAAATTCCCTTAATTGTGATTTTTTTTCTTGGAGAAACTTTTGATCAGGTCACATGATGTGGCGGAAGGTGAACTGTCATTGTTAATTAGGCTGGTCGTAGAAATTCCTTGACTGGATATTGTCACGAGGTGCATTGTTTATTTGTTGAGTAAATTCCAACACTCACTTCAGAACTTTATTTCAATGAGATAGACAATAGGAAAGGCTAAAATTAGCACAAACAACATTTAAAGTCGTTGTTGATGAAAACACTGCTCCTAACTATTGGAGGGCAAACCGAAGCGTCTGGTGAGGAGGGCTCGAGAGTAGCGATAAAATGTCAACAAAAAGGGAGCACGCAGAGGAGTCCTTTACTGTTGTGTGTGCAAAACAAAAAACGCACCATTTAGCCTATCTCACAAATAAAAAAACGCATATTGTACAGTTCATGGATGGAGTGATTCCAAATGCATTTCGGAGTGTTGGTTTTCCATCCATTCGACTTAATAATATGTTTATTCTAATGTGGAGCCAATCCCTGCGCTATATGCATCTGTTTGGGTTAAAACATTAGTGATGGCAGTGACATTTGCAGTCAGATGCCACCAGCCCTCAATAAACTTTTGCACGATTATTTGGGACTGAATCAATTCCAGCACGCCATCGAATTTGCCACTTGCAACTAATTAACAGAACACAAGATGATTACATGGGTCATAGGAAGTTTATCCATTGAATGCAGTTAAACCTTTCCTGCTTTAAATTGAGTAATGGAGGCATTGTGGATTCCACTAAGGACGTTCAAGGTGCGGGCAAGGGAGGATGAGGAAGTGATTCCGCTTATTACCGCATCGTAGCAGGAGCAGCAAATGCGGCTTGAAATGACCACTTCAGAGGCAGAAGCAGGCGCAAACGCAGGTTAACCAAGACAGCGATCCTGCATCCAATTTCCATAATTTATCATCACATCATTTGTTAAATTAAGTGAATTTTAACCAGCTCCACTTAAAAAAGGGGAACTGATCTAGCCGTGGAATTAATTATCTTCTATGTTAATTATCAAATCCTTACCACACCCATTTTCCTAAAAAAGCATCCGTCTTCCCGCAACGTGGCGCCTTCGTCAAACAAGGGCGCGCATTTGTGTTATTTCAAAGACGTGAAAAATAGGCAGCTCTTTCGTTTAGTTTATTTAACTTCATATCTTGCACCCCCAATGGATGGTTAAGCGTTTGTAAACATCAAAACTACTCTACATCCACGCTACCTGCTTAGCCAAGGTTATATGAAAGCGATTTTGTCCACAAAAATGTGCACGTAAACGACACGGTTTCGTTTCGGTAAACAGGATGGCGATGCCAAATCCAAGTAAGGCCGATTAATGATGGCAGTTGTGCCAAGTCTCGAAGTCGCGATGCCTCCTTAATCGCCTCCCTTCCAACGTGTTGGCAAGATCGCTCACCCCGGCATCCGCCGCAACGGCGGATGCGCTAGTGAACAGCGGCCAGTAAAACGTCTGCAGATTTGTATAAAACAAGTGCTGCATGACGGTTCGATTAAGTGAAGGCAAGACCTACCAAGATCTCAATTTCGACTAGTGAATTAAGACTTCAGGTTTAGTGCTTATTAGCCCTTGCGCTAGTAATTTTTTGTTGCAATTTCCACATTATGAAATGTGAGTTCCATTTGAAATAACCACCTCATTTTACGTTCAAAATGCTTATAAATACTTTTACGATTAGGAATGAGAAAGAGAAAGTATGCTTTTTGTGATGCTACTCGGGTTCTACAAGGCATCACTTAGTCACTTTAATTCCCTTACCCATGATGCATGCAAATATACTCGTCTGCATTTCCTTCCCATCAAAATCACCACCAACGCACACACAAGCACAAACACCTTTTTTTCGAAGTCTGACTCTCATTTTTTGCTGTGCTAACTTCAAATGCTTCTGCTGAATGTGTGGCTTGTGAGCGCAAACTAGTCTCGTTCCATCGGAATACATCAAAAAGGAGACACCCGAGTGATGTCAGAGTTTCCTAGACAGAAATTTCACAGAATTAACTGATATGGAAAGTTGAAATAAATGAAGATTTCTCTTTGCACTACAAAACAATTTTAAAGACGGCAAATGGCTTAAAGTTTGGTGCAAAAGTTTAACAAAGTTCTGAATGTGTATTCCATACAAGATTTTTCACTCAGCCGAAGTGACATGTGGTGAGTGTGCATACTGAATGACACGCCACTCAAAGCCTTGACACCTCCCGACCCTTCAGAGGGATTGGCGGTGCAAAAAGTTTTCGTAGCAAATTTATGCTTCGGGTTTGTTTATAATTTACAGCTTTGTCCCTGTTTCTGAGGCCGAGTTATTTTGCATGCAAATTTAACAAAGAAATATCCACTATGCCTACATAAGGCATATGCCGAGTGGGGACGATGTGAATCATCAGCATGTTTTCAGATGTCAGACAGAAGCCGGCGATTCCGGTTCGTTTAAGAAACTGGTACAGATCAAGTGATCCTCTGCTGTGTAGGTTCAATTAGCCAACGGTGTTTAACACATTGAGAAGTGAGAGGTGGAAGCATACAAAACGATTAAACGTGATTGACGTTTCGCAAAGCATCGAATGGATAGAGAGGCGAATCAACTTTCATTCCTCAAATACCGAAGGCTTTCATACGTAAATATGGATAAAACTTATTTTAAGATCGTCCTGTTTGAGCGGTTGAATTTGAAGCCCACTGTTCTTAGTGCTGCCGTACATTTCAAGAACATCTTATGATGACGAATGTCACTCGCAAGGTCTTCAAGTGAACATGCACAAATTTTCAGCAGGCGAATTTGACAGCCCAGGAAGAGCGCACTATTATAAAGATTGGGATGTGACGCATGGCAGGGGCAGATGGGCTGACGACAAAAATACCTCACTGATCACCGTTACAAAGACATCGCCCCTAAATCGTGCGAAGCGATGAAATGCACTTTCTTAATGATTGGTTTATGCCCTTTACAGAGGTGATTTACCAAAACTGTGTGGATCCACAAATTTGTTTATTTTTTTCGAACCAGAAGATGACGTATTATTCGGTCGGATAAATGATGTCTACGAATTTGGGTATGAAGTTGGGAGTGCCTGTGAAGTCATTCCTCCACCTCATGCGGACCCCATCAGTCGGTAGAGCAATGCCCTAGACGACTGTCGGACTAGAGTGTCAATGCACTCCTCGAAGTAAAAAATCGCAGAAAATGAGTACGACATGATATTGGATATAAGGAGATTCAATCAGAGGAGCTATCTCAGCAAATGGTTTTCATAGTATGACAAATTGAAGCCGTTTCGATTTTTAAAAAAATGCAAAATTTGCGTTTCCATTTTTTAAAAATTTACATGACAAGTTGTGAAACGCTCTCAATCACATTTCTCGCTTACGGAGCGCGGTAATGGGGCTTTCCTCCAAATTCATACCAAATCAAATGTGGCACTTGAATGACTGCAGTCCATCCATGAATGCCACCACAACACCTGTAAAGAATACTTTTAAACACCAATCTTTATTTTGAAAGCATTACTAACATTGAGGTCATGTCAGCATTAGGGTGATCGGCGCTGAAATGGTCTGGCAGGACTGGGCGTGTGTGTGTGAGCGAGAAAATTCACTCCAGCCATTCAGGTCTGCATACAAATCACTGTTTACACACTGTGGTCTCAAGTGATAGGCAGTGACGTCTTGTCTTTGAATGATATAAAAGTGGGTCAAGAAGACGGGCAAAGAGAATTAATTTTAGCTAGGACAATGAATGTTTCCGACGCTCTGAATCAAACGGACGGGGAAGGCACTTCTGCCTCCTTGACCTCACCCACTTTTGGCTACATAGCCATTGTAGTTTGCGCAGTCTGCTTTGGGACTAACTACTTGCCAGTGAAGAAGTTTTCAATGGGTGATGGTGAGTGAAACGTTCACATTCTATATGCTTTAAGCATTAACGACACGACTGTACTCGGTCTTCTGTAAAGCCCCGGGCTCATATGAATAACACGGGTCTTCAGTTCAATGAGCAGGATTTTGTGATTGAGTTTTGCACGATGAGTAAACACTGAGAAAAATTGTCGGAGAAGGGCATCACCGATACAAACCCTCCTGCTTCATATCCATAGAGGATGTGGAAATATAGCTGTTTGGGCTAGATGTGCATCAGTTTGTTAGTAACCCACCCAACTGGTGCCACTTTTAAATATTCTGTAAGGCCCATTGCCATGCAACATCTGCCTCGTACAATTAAGAAAAGAAGCCTTTGAGACCCTTCTCCTACTCAAGTCGTTAAAATGCCGTCCAATGTCCGACTTTATCTATGCTTTTGAGCAAAATGGTGCGAAGTTCTATCTAATACTATTGCCTTCAGGTATGTTTTTTCAGTGGATGATGTGCAACGCAATTTTGATCGTGGGCGTCATAGTCAACTGCTCAGTTGGGTGTCCAAAGTTCTACCCTCTCGCCATGTTCGGTGGCGCGCTGTGGGCTATAGGTGAGCTGTTTTGGTTCCCCCTTTTTCCTAAACAAAGTCATTTGCTTGACCGAATGCTAAATGATCATAAAAGCGAGATCCAAGCACCTTAACTCTAAGGCCGTAACTAAGGCATTATTTTCCTTTTCGCCATATACTTTGCAGTGAGATATTCTGCTTAACGCATTCAATAATATTTTTGCTCAATGTAAATTAGATAGATGCAAACACAAAATATGAGGGGCCTTTTTTACAAACGCATTGCAGACTACACAATTTAACACGCTAAGCACCTCAAGTGGAGCGTCGCAGGCACACCGGGTTTTGCGAGGATGATCAATCTTTGTGATCGTAGCAAAAAAAATTTGCAGTGGTGAAAATTAGGCAGTTGTGCCACCTTAAGTCTAAAGCTATTCATCTCAAATTCACACTTATGTTGTTAGTGTCAGAGGAATAGACATCACCGTCAAGTGATTAGTATACGAATTTCTAGGCTTTAAAAGCAACCTCACATGAAGCATTTTTTGTCTGAATGGCAGGAAATTCCTTGAGTGTGACAATCATTGAGGCAATCGGAGTCGGTCTTGGCATGATCATCTGGTCCATGTCCAACATGCTCTTCGGCTTTGCAACTAGCCGGTATGCTGCTGACAGCATTACATTTGCATAACTCAACATGAGTATGACAATACTCTTAACGCGTACCTCAGTGATACCTTCCCATCATTTAGGTTTGGGTGGTTCGGAATTGCGCAGAAGATCCCCAAGAAGCCCATCATGAATTACATCGGGGTCGCCATCGCTCTCGGAAGGTAAGGGAAGATTCATGTCGTTGCAGACCTTATTGTGTAAGCAATAAATAAGCGTTTATATTTCCCAGTTGTTTGGTTATTTGGTAGATAAATGCATTATGCGTCTAGCAAAATGGTGTTGGAAAGGACTCGTCGAAATTTTTTGATCCAAATGAAACGTTTAGGAAAGAAAGCATAAACGGCACTTCCGTTGTGCATTTTATCCTTGCCGAAGCTCGGATTTGTTGGTAAACACATAGAATTGACCAATATGTTTGTGCCTTCTGCATCATTCAGCGTCATCATCTACGCGGCAATAAAACCTAACCAACCGGAGAGCAAGAAGGAATCGCCGAGAGAGGGTGGAGATTTGGAGGATGTGGTGAGGACGGACCGCAGTACCACAAAAGCTCTCCTCACCGACGAGCGAGAATCCACTGGCAAATGTGGACGCATGTGCAAACCCATCTCCAGCATGCCTCTGGCGCAAAGACGCATTATGTTAGTTTAACTGACACTTGAAAGCGCCTCTGGACGATAGGATTGTGTCATAATTGCCTCTCGGCACTCCACGGTTCTTAAAATTCAGGTGTCAAATTTAAATGGGTTATTTAGAGCTTTAATTGATGCGATTTCGGTAAGTTTTTGTTCTTTAGACGATTGAAAATAGTGGGAGAGGATGGAAAATGTGCGAAACCCACTTTAAAAGTGGATGATTTGACTTGGCTGAAACTGCGGTTCTAAGATGCCCCGAAACACAGCTGCAATACCCCGATCACAGTGCTGTTGTTCGAATGGGGACGATAATTTAAATGATCGAGAATAAGAGCCGATCAGCGGGACCGGTGAATGTTGAAGAAAATGACGTCAGAGTAATTAAAACAACTAAATAAGTGCCATTTTAATGTTGAATGTTTCCTTTACCTCATTTTAATAATTTAATAAGCATTATAACCAGCTTATGCTCGTTTGCGATTCGTAATTACTTTTTTTGGAAAATTTATACAAAGCCAACTGCCTAAAGGCAAGACGTTTCCTTTACTTCAGTGGAGTAGTCATAGCTGTTGTGGTCGGCTCACTTTACGGAAACACTTTCGTCCCGACCCAGTACATTCAGACCTGGTACGAGGGAGCCAGTAAAGAAGGTAACATTTACGGATAGAAATATTTCCAGGTAATAGACATTACTTTCTCACTGCTTTCAATTTGTCTGATGTGTATAAGGTCTTCACTACGTGTTCGCCAACTTTGTGGGCATCTGGATGACCTCAACAGCGATCTTTTTCATCTATGCAATGGGGAAAAGAAACAGACCCTGGATTCCACAAAACAACGCTATCGCACCCGCCCTCGCCAGCGGCGCCCTGTGGGGCACCGCTCAGTCCGCCTGGTTCGTGGCCAACGCCGCACTCGGTGAACCCATCACCTTCCCCATCATCACCACGTGCCCTGCTCTCATCGCCACCATATGTGGCATGATTTTCTTCAAAGAAATAACCGTAAGCTCGTTAGGGTCCTTTTGACACCATTTACAATCATTGCTCTGTTTAAATGCGGCGAACACAGTGTTAACTGCATTTCTTTTGATCTGAAGATTTTTTTGTAAGTATTCTCAAGTCAGCCTTATGCGAATGAGATGCGTAAGTCTAGACACTGCAGATTGTGTGTATTTCAAGCACCAAATCATTTGGGCCTTTGATCATCAAACGGCTTAAGGTGCACACAACAAAGCAATGTGGCAATCTGCGTTGTTTTTTTGTGTTAGGGAAAACGAAACTATATTCTCCTAGTGATCGCCTTCTGTGTGACCGCCGTTGGTGTCATCCTCAACGCCCTCTCAAACGTCTAAGCTAGAAGACGTTTAATTTTATGCTTAAAAATGCTCTTGTCAACGCAGGACTCACCTCCTTACCCTATGAAACTTTTCAAACACAGACAATCATCCACTGATCACCGCCTTTTCCTCCACCTTGGTGCATATTGTGTTAAAGGAACTGATTCGCGTTTTACTGTAATTTAATAAATCAGAGCAAAACATCGTTTTACACAGGTCCTAGAATTAGAGACAAATGCTGTACAAAGTTAAGAGCAGTTGCAGCTATCCAGTGACCAGTGGGAGAGGAGATATGAAGCTGAATGACTTCGGTCTTTAAACTCTTTTGTGGTTGGGAATTGGGATTTAAAATGGCTTTTAAAATTGTAAGGATGACTTAAAAGTTATTTGCAAATAAAGCTTAGGCTAAACTTAAAAAATTAATACGAAACCTAATTTAACTTCGAAATGAGCATGTCTTGAGAATATACGCCTTGTGGTTATCAGTGGTAGACTCTCACTACGTATGAGAAGCTGTTGAAGGCCTGAAGCAGTAACCGCAGAGTCTTAAAGCAGTGTTCCTTATAAAAATCGAAAAGCATCGGATGCTGGAATAGTCGACTGGGTGATGTTTACACTCGACACGAACTCTCATACAGTACTCAAGGAGTTGGCGGAGTTTCAACATTCGCTTTGGATATTGCTAAACGACCTCAAGCGCTGTTGAAAAGTATGCGCTTAGCCGACCCAACGCCTTTGAACTTTGAGTATCATTGAGAAGAAAAGGGATCCAACAAGTCTCCCTAGGGCAAAATGAGTGAATTCTAAAGCTGAGCACCTTAATGCAACTTATGCGACATTCTTAAATTGCTCTTTGAAAGACAAATTATGAGCCACTGCTTGCACAATGGCAAACCACATCCACCTCTTGCAGGAGACATTCAGTTGCAGCTAATCTTATAGATGACGCCACTTGTAATTAAATGACAGGTCTGCGCAAGACCTGTCACCACTCATTGCCATAAGGGTGCTTTGAACACGTCAAGTAACATCTGAGCAGCATAGAGGTGCACTTGAATGGACAACGCCTACCTTTGCCTCGGTGAGGGCAGCCAGAAAAGACGAAGTTTTGCCGCCTAAAAATGTACTTCCGTGTAACGGGAATGCTCTCCCATGGAGAGACCTAGTAGTTATCGCCTTCGATCTTTTGATCCCATCCACAATGGAAGGCGCGAAGTTAGACATTTTTACGAGCATAAAAGACACTGATCCAATACTGCCGTTTGTTTGTTCACCCATACATCTCCTAGTTTAACCATTGACTAAGAAGGCCTATGAACGTTTTCAAGTCCACCTCCATCAGCTACAGTCGGTCTTCAAATGGATTATGTCAAAAGAAGTCCAAACAGCACTGATCGACAAAACCTTATTGAAGTCTAGGTGATCTACTTCCCAACATAAGTAGGCCAGATTTGACGATTGAAATCGTCGTCTTTCTGAAAATAAAAAAAAAACCCCTATTTCTGGATAATTACGAATTTGCAAAAGATAGCTGCACTTACAAAAGCATTCCTGTCCTAGGATTTACCCTCATTTTCAAGACTGATTTCACGACAACATTTGTCGACACATCAATCAAATAAAGTCTAGGAATTGGAGTGACCTGTCCGATGTCGCCACTTATGCCCTCACCTTCGCCCTTGACAAAAAGTTTCCTTATGGCTAAGAACTCTGACGATGTGTTTCGGATCTTTATAACGCGAATAAGGATGGGAACAAGCTTGCCTATCTCAATTTTGTTTAACAACTTATTTTCAAATAAAGCCAAAAAATTCGCTCCAAATACATGAAACAAGCATTTGTCGAAATAAGGTATTGTATCACTGGCAGACATTAATGTGAAGCAGTCTTTTCGAGTCTCTCATCTAATTCACAAATTTGATGTACTTCACCGTGTAGTTGTGTCTCAGCTGGCTGGCCACAGTAATCAGTTCGGCCTGGCTCTCGGGTTTCCTTTGGCCCCTAACATCCAAATGCACCTTTGGAAAAAAAAATACATCATTGTTCTCCAAGCAAGCTTGTACTGTGCCAACTACTAACGTTTGCAAATGATACAAGCGAAAAGGCCTATTGAGCTTTGAACAATTACATCAGCCAAGTAAATTTGATGTCCGAGCTGATACAACCACTTGTTGACCCTCCTCTTCTCTCGTCACCACCTACACAGCATTCTGTACATCCATAAAGAATATATCTTTACATCTTACTCGACTGGCTGATGAATGGGGTAAACGAACTCAAG